TATTTAGAGAAAGTATGGAGTGATTAAATGTTATATAGTTTTTGAGTAGATATATTGGTTTTTAATTAATTTTAATTAATTTAATTGCCTTATTAGAGTTAAAGTAGGTATATACTGATAGCATTATATTTGTTTAGTTAAATTGTAATTTAGATTTGGAATGATGTGTTTCAATCCTGTATTTGGTTCCGGGAAGCTCAGGGGGGGGAAGGGGATTAGGGGTATTAAAAAAAAATTGATGAATTCATATGTTATAGGTAAATAATAATTGTACTGATAAGAGGAGATGCTCGGCTGGTATCCCAAATTGCACTCGAGGAGGTGGTCAGGAAGAGGGGGGATGTAGAAGTGGGAAGGAAAATTCATAATCATTGTCAAGGATATGTTCTTCTGTCTTCTATGATGGTAGCACCAAAGTCTGAGAAAATTCCTTACTCAGCCTAGGTGTTTACATATTGTAACTTTATGCATTTTGTTCCAAGCAAATCTTGTAATCTGGAAATCTCGTATCTATCTTCTGCATAATCCTTCATTTTCCCTATCTTGCTCAGCTAATTTGACATTCTCCTGCAAGGACTCAAACAAGACTACCTGCAAGATCTTCCAAAAAGGATATATTTTGTTATATCCCTTCAATACAGAATACTGTTTGATTTGTTGCTCCATGCTGTATGTCATGTGGAAGAACGTGGGCCGGCGCATAACCCAGAGCCATACCTCTGGAATCCAGCCTAGATTCAAACTCCATGGCATCATCTGGGGGCCTTTGCTTGGTATCACTGCAACAATTATCGGTATTTGCACTTTCATGATATATCAAATCCAAGCCACCAGTTCTTTCCCTACCTATATGTCATTCATACTGTATTATTCCTACTACATTTGTTTATTGCCTGCAATGACTGTGGGGGCTTTGGCTGGAACTGTTGTCCATGCTTTAGAAGAAAGAGAGCTGGATACTCTGAAAAATCCAACCAGAAGCCTTGATATCATCCTGCTCATGGGAACAGCCTTAGGCCAAATCGCCATCTCGTATTTTTCCATTGTAGCCATTGTGGCCACCCATCCAATAAGCATGTTGAACAGCATCATTCTAGCCTATTCAATAAGCCTCATCATTCAACACATTTCCCAGAATATCTTCATCATTGAGGGCCTCCACAGGCAACCACTACTGATGAGTGAGGACTCTCAACTTGCCACACATTCCACTCAAGGGCCTCCCTCCCCCCAAGTTCTGCCTAATGAAGATAGGGCTCTATCCCATCTCTGTGAAGAACCTGTCCCATCCCCTGCTGGTGAGGAGACAGACAAAAGTGAAAGAGAGAAATGTGAAGACAGCTCCCCAAACATGGATAACCTAGAGATGAGACAGAAAAAACAGAGTGTTTCGTGGACTTACATCCAGGCCTACAGGCATCTGAACTGGAAAAGAAGAGCTCTGAAGGAGATCTCCAGCTTCCTGATCATGTGCAATATCATTGTAAGTACTTATATAAATGACATAACAATTGAAAGTATAGCCTAAGGTACTAGAGATGTTTTGAATGACTATTCTATTGAAATCTCTGACCAATGGCACTGTGACCAAGTTTGGTTAAAAAGGTAGTCCGAAATATTTGGGAAACTCTAGCTTTCTAATTCTGCCATATGTTTTCAAGCACCATTGTCAACAATGGACAAATTTGGCTAGACCTTAATATAAAGTGTGGATCAGCATCCATCAAAGGATCAATGGTTTTTTTTCCCATCAAAATAACCAAGCACAGAAGACAGCGAAAGGCTTTTGGCATTATCAATTAAAATTATTATGCAGGATTTCTAACTTTCTCTCCATAATGGATTTTTTGAGGCAAGAAAAATGGCTAAGGATGCAGAATAAAAACATGAGGAAAAGGAAAGTTACTAAGGGAAATGCCTGAACCATGGATTAGGCATGAAAATTGCATAGTGAATACAAATGAACAAAAACGTGTTCAGATTTTCTCTTTGTGTAGCACAAGAACCAAGGTTGTTAAGATTTTCACTCACCGGAAGTGGAGAAACTAGGAAATACTACTAAAAATTAAGATAAAATGACCATGTTTTTAATAGTAAACGCACATATACATATGCCACCAGAGAACCACCTTTTTCTGATCCTGCTCTATTTTTATATCCCCTTTCCAGCTGTGGATTATGCCATCATTTGGAGCACATCCAGTGTTTGAGAATGGAATAGAGAAATCATTTTATGGCTATTCCACCTGGTTTGCCATTGTCAACTTTGGGCTTCCGTTGGGTGTGTTCTACCGAATGCATTCTGTTGGTGATCTTCTGGAGGTCTACCGCTCTGCCTGAAGCAAATCTAAATTTTCTCACATTGCTGTTTTTATTCTGCTACAAATGCGATCACGAAAACCAGTAATAAAATGTGTAAAATTATGAAAATTTCACATTAAGAGAGATTTGTGATATCATTTTGAATAATTCTTTAATCAGAAAAAATACTCTGATCTTGTCGGTAAGTAGTCCATTAATCACTGAAGGTTCATTTCTCCTTAATAGCTCCTAATAGGATTGATTTGTTCTGTACACATTACTTACAAAATCTAATTACAGTGACGCTGAACAATTATTAACCTTAAGAATACAAGGCTAATGTCACATTTGAAAGAGAGGTAAACTATGTTGAGAATGGCAATCCCTTGGGTAAAATGATTACTTTTTATTAATGCATCAATCCTTGGATATGGCTGAATCATTGAGAAGAGTAAGAAATGGAGCACTTTTAAGTTAAAGACATTTCTATCAATGTCTTTTGAAATGGCATGAAAATATCCCAGGTGTGGCACTTATTTACATCTATGATCAAAACACAAAGATTGTGTCTATCATATGTATGTGACAACACAAAGCCATTCTAGATATGTTTGTGACAACTGGCCTTATATTTTGCATGAGTAGAGGCAATAAAGCACAAAACAGAAAATATAATATTTAGGAAGACTGAAACATAACTTTGATATCAAGCCAATTAATAAGAAAACGTCTCAAGAGATTTCTGATATATTTTGGAACAATTCAAACTTCATAACTTGGATCTGTAGCATTTTTTTTTAATTAAATGATAAAAAAGTGTGGAAAAGAGCAAGGCTCTCTCCTTACAAATCAACAAGCAACTTTGTTTAAGATTCCACACCACGCCAATAGTCCCATCTGCACTTGGATAGTCTTGCTCTGCACTAGACAGCCTTACTCAGATGATCCCCACACCATGATGAAATGATTGCTTCTTCCAAGGCTGCCTTGTTAGACTAGGATCATACAAAATTTGAATTAAGACAGGTCAGGCATAGTCCTGTTTTCATTTTTTTATCTTGCACACCACATATCTAAATAATTAAAACCGAAGCAGGAATAAATATATTAAAGCAGAGTAAAATATCAGGCTCAGGATCTGATCAGAAATACTAATTTAATTATTGAAAAATGCAGAAGCAGAACTGTGGAGAAACTTCCAACCTCTTAAAAATGATAATTAGCTAAACTTTCCAGCTAAACTTTACTACATGTGCTCTAATTCAGGGGTCCCCAACTCCTGGTCCATGGACCGGCACTGGTCTGCAGCATGCTAGCAACCGGTCGACACAAACAAGCGAAGCCCCATCCGTTGGTTGCAGGCAGCATGCAAAACCACACCCCCTCCGGTCCATGGAAAAACTTTTCTCCATGGAACCGGTTCCTGGTGCCCAAAAGTTTCGGGGCCACTACTCTAATTGTTTTGTTCAGAGTTCAGGATACAAAAAAATAGACTGCACTGAAAAACCGCCTCTAAGTTATTATAGATGTTTGATCATATACAGTAAGGGATTAAACCTGATCCAAGCTTTGCAATCAATCTACCTTTTAGTAATAACTAAACCTTTCTCTTTGATAAAGGGTAACAGGCGGAAGTGTAAACATTTCTTATTTTATTGCTCTCCTGTAAAATAAATCATTTAAAAGTTCCTAAGATAGAGTCCAGGGCTTGGCTTTTTCACATCTCTTACTTTAGAAAAGTAAGCCAAAATAGGCTGCAGGAAGTTTATTCAGCTCCATTCAGAAAACCTCTGCTCCAAAGAGTCAGCTGGCCCAAACACCAAAGAACAAACGTTGTTAAGAGTTGGAATTTTGCATTTTGGCTAGTTTTGTTTTGTTTTGTATCAATTAAAGTTGCCAGAGGAAATAAGAGTCGAGTAAGTTAGCATTCTTAAAAAGTTGTCCCATTCTTCCCAGGTCGAAACCCAAGGTCCTATCCAAGGAACTTACTGAAAGTTGGTGGTTTTTGAGGAAAAAGCAGAGAAAAGTTAGTGCTCTGGCAATAAAGACCGGTGCAGTTTGGAGCAGATACGTGAGCCGTGGCTCTTAGACCAACTGGTTACCCAGAATCTAAATATTTCTTTCAAATTCTGAAAAAAGAAGTCTCACATTCCTCACTCACAACAACTGGCAAATTCACGTCAATTTCCTTAAATTTCATGTTGCTTTGAAGGTACATTTATTTTGTACATTTTAATTCCACAAACTCTTCTAGAATCCGGGGTACAGTCCACCTATCCCCTTCTTCTCATTAGCAAATGTGCTAGTGTAGCATGAACAATAAAATATTGATCCAAGAGCTCCTCTGCAGCCGTGCCTTTAATGGAAAGGTACATGTTGCAAAGAATGCCACAGCATCATAAATCAAACAGTAACACAAATAAGCTAATAAACCTCTTGTGATATAGATAAAGCCAGCTAAAGCGTTTAAGATAATTTTATCTCCATATGTAAAGTAAATAGTTTATAGTGCAATTTTGATTCTTCAGGGAACAAAGAGCAGAGATGCAATTCTAAAGAAAGAAAAAGTCAAGATAAATTCACAAAAAAACCCCACATATTAATATACAACAAAATGCCGGAGCGTCACAGAAATGTTCATACACACATACATGGGAACGTTCATGTATACAGGTGAAAGACATGGATCAGTGTTTACTAACAAGAATCTTTACTTTGTAGTGAGATACAAATATGGTGCAATTGTTCAGAACTTTAACTGGGCATTGCCAAAGACATTCAAAGGAAAATATAATCTTCATTCTTTCAATCGGCATGTAATAAGAATTAAACAGCAGGTTTTTGTTAATGAACAGGACATGAAATGATAAATCTCAAAGGGAAAAATGTCAAAAAGGAATAACAATGATCTTATTTATCCTTTCATCAAACTAATCTCCAATGGCACCTAGTTAATATCTACAAATTGCTTACTTCGTTGTAATAAAAAACATGAAAAAAATGTTCTTGAGCAGGAAAAAAAAACTAAACTGCATTAGAATTAATTTTACAAGTTTAAGTTGCACTTTCCTTTGCCACAAGGTGACAATATTTGTTTAATGTCACGTATGAAAAAGACAAGATTTTATAAAAAGAAAGAGCTCTGCAAAACAGCCTCTCATATTTCAGATTCTCTGGTTAGGGCTCAAATAAAAACTGGCAAGAAGGAGATAACATACTTGCCATCTTTAGTGTTGAGCAAAACACACACTAATACGATGCTGAAAATTTATTAGCAGGAGAATTTGTTGTACATTAAATCAATTATAGTTTAATTAACCAACTTAGAATACAAACCACATTATGTGACTTTCTAGAGAATAAAACTCCATTCCAGCAGTCTGACTGCTCATTTCAATACATTAAAAAAAAACACCAAACAATAATTTCTAAATCCCTGAAAATAGCATATGCTCAAGCCGTTTCCTCATCTCTCAAAATGTCCCACAATATTTTTCCCAGAGACAATTCTTGCAATAAACACCAATTTTAAAATGTGAAATATATTCAAGACACATATCCATATTTAAAAGGAGTTCCTACAAGGTTAGGAAAACAAACAAAAACGGAATTTGAATGTTCCATTACAACATCAGGACAAAGAAATTAAGCACATTTTCATTGACAGGGGAAAGCGAACAAAACCAAACTGTTGTCCTGAAATAACATAAATAAGTAGACTGTTGGGTCAACAGTCATCTCCTAAAGCAGGGGTCTTCAAACCTGGCCCTTTTATGACTTGTGGACTTCAACTCCCAGAATTCCTCAGCCAGGCACTCTGGCTGAGGAATTCTGGGAGTTGAAGTCCACAAGTCATAAAAGGGCCAGGTTTGAAGACCCCTGTCCTAAAGGAAACTCCTTCTCATCCCCGTATGATGCAATAAAACAGTTGGGGGGCATAGGAACAGAGGATTGGAAAGGAAGGGCTGAGAGCCTACATTCTTTGGAAAAGAGCCACAAAGCTACTTCCTGCAGTTGCGCTTTCTTCACTGGTCCACTTTCTAATTCTTTACATTCACTGTCTTTCTACATAAAGGCTGAATCTGACTAGGGAGTGAAAAGATGGCTTCTCTAGCGCTAGTCAAATTCAAAATTGCACCAAAAAGCATGGGGAAGGTCTGATAAGCTCTTGTTAGGTTTTCAGTTTGATTCCTAGCAATGGCCAGTCCTTCAACAACTTTTCTTCACACCTTTTCTTGGGGGTGGGCAAAGTTAGGAAGGGCTGCTGAGTTTTAAAAGTGGCGGGGAAATGGCTGTGATTGTCCTCTAGAAACATGCAGGAGGCAGTGAAATGAAGAAAGAGCTGTGATGAACAAGCACACAGCAAGATCCTTGTTTCCAGTGTTTCTGCTCAACCGGAGGCAAGTTCCGTTCCTCAAACGCGCTGAATTTCGAACAGCTTTACATCTGTGTCATACCAGATAGGAGGATCCACATTCCTAAAGAGAAACAGATATTCATTCCCTTGTACATAACATAAATGTCAGGGTGGAACCGGGAAAACCAGTATGTTTCCAGCACTTTTTAACATGTGCAATCAGGCAAAATCAATAGACCCAGTGATATAGAGAAAGAAGCTATTTAATAGACAGCTATTTCTAATGACATTTTTATGCTATTTGAATTCTTCAAATTCATTTGTAATCTATATTTCTTAGCACTAATGTAGTCTTTAAAATGTATAATGTCCATGAGAGTAATCAGGCTCAGAAAGCAGGAGACCATGAGTTCCAGTTCTGCCTTAGGCATAAAAGCCAGCTGGGTGACTTAGGCCCAGTCACTCTCTTTCAGCCCAAGTCACCTCACAGGGATGTTGTTGTGGGGGAAATGGAAGAAAGTGTGTTGGATATGTTCACCTCTTTGAATTATTTGTGAAAATAATAAAGGCAGGATACAAATAAATAAAAAATAAATATAAATGTCCTGGATCAGACAAAATCTATCTTAATCCAGCATTCTGTTCTCACCCTCTCTTTCTTCCCAGGGCTAAGCAATGGTTA